TTTTTTTTATTTTAAATTTTTTTCGCTGTTCTCTTATCAATCATATGATACTGTCAATTTCTTTTTTCTTAAGTACAAGATAGGAAAAAAAAATATTAATAGACATTTGTTCTACTTTTATGTATATTGTATAGTATGAGTATGGGACACATGTGACAATGCATGTGGAAAGAAAACGAGCATTGATGTTACTGGTAATAAATCTGTAAGCATTACATTGGTAAGACATACTTGTCAATTATATGCAGGATAGGGTTATTAATCAGTGCATTTTCTGCTTATCAACGTTCATTGACAACATTAATGATGTCGAAATGGTTAGAATTTGGTGAACGAAGTCACCTATACGGTTGTTAGTTATCAAAATCTTATATTACTTATGTTTTATGCCATTTTTCAATAGATATCGATGACTTGAACATATCGATATAAGTTGTTTAAGTGATCTTTAAGTACATGCTTGAACGAAAAATTGATTTTTTAAAATTACAGGATAAGAAATATCTGTCTGATCTATTCTCAATATTTATAACATCAATCATATGTGTACTAAGAACCTCTTTTGAAAGAATATTGCATTGAAGGAAGAAAAAAAAATTTTTTTTTTCTTCGACATCCTTCGCGACCTGAACAAAAAAGAAAAAGTACATCCGTCGATTTTTTTCTTTCCTTTCTATGACTTTACATGTACGATGTATTTTTTCTTTAAAGAATGAAAAGAAAAGAAAAAAGAATGTTCTATTGCGCGATGATGAGTAATAGGATATGCAAACATTTAATTCACAAAGAATGTATTTTTATTAATCGAAACATGAGTATCATAATATTTTATAATGACGTATATTAGTAATTATGCTATAGCGACTATTCTATGTCTTCAAACAGTATGTCATAGTATTATTTCAACTGTTGGACAATATATTTATGCTTCTTATTTACAAACATATCCATCGAATGGTACTCAAAATTTTACCACAAATTTTATTCCTTCAATTCATTTATTAAAATCAATTAATGATGCCTCATCACAATGCATAGATAATACAAGTAATTCTTCAAATAGTAATGCTCAAGTATGGGCACAAGAACAATCAGCGGATCTATTCTTTCGAATTGATTTATGGAATAGTTGTCCAATGATTATAATGACTTATATTCTTGGAGTATATACTCCAAAATTAGGTAGACAATTTGTTCTTATAGTACCTATGTTAGGAACTACCGGTCAGCTAGCTATTTGGTTAGCAATTATTTATTTTCATCTAGCTGATTATTGGTGGTATATAGCTAGTTTTATTGTTGGTTTATCTGGTTCAAGTTATATTTTAAGTAAACGAAATATTTTATCTATATATATATACATGATTAATGTTTGTTATTTATAGATTTTGTATTGAGTTTAATCATCGTAGATAATACGAAAGAGAACGATCGATCATCTCGTTTTGTTTTATTTGAAGCATTGACAACAACTGTATCTGCTATTGTAACGTTTGCTAGTGGTTATTATATCAATTGGCGTGGTTTTACAGATCTGTACTGGATTTCTTTAGGATTACAAATTATTTCCATTATAATTGTTATTTTATTTTTTAAAAATTCTTCTCATATAGTCAACGAAAGAACTTCACTATTATCATCATCATCTGTAACTGTAACTCAAATTAAAGAATCTCGACCATTAAAATCAAAATGTAACAATTGTTTAAGTTTATTTCAAATCTTTAGTTTTAAAAATCAACCACGACAAAAATCAATTAGTCTTCTTTTAATTCTTTTCGCCTATATTTTCTATTTATTAGCATATTCAACATATGCAGCATTTCTTTGGTATCTTCTCGATTCTCCATTTTGTTGGTCATCAGAAAATGTTGGAAATTATACAGCATTAGCTTCCATATCTTGTGCAATTTTTAGTTTACTTGGAATGAAATTCTTTACACGTCTTGGTGCTAGTGATACAATTATCTGCACATTAAGTCATCTATTTTTTACTGCATCATCTCTTTGGATTGCATTTGCTAAACGTAGTTGGCAATTATATGCTGGATTATTAATCAGTCCATATGCTGATTATCAAAATGCTTTAACATTACCAATGATGTCGAAATGGTTAGAACCTCATGAACGAAATCATGCATTTGCTTTGGTAGCCGAAGTAAATACAATTGTTACAACGTTTGGTGATTCAGTTTTTAATTGGATTTATGCACAAACAGTTGCTAATTTTCGTAATTTTACATTATTAATGGCTGCTGGATTTAGTATTATTTCGTTTATATTAAATATGTAAGAAAAATAAATTGAAATTTCAAATCAAAAAATATTGTTTTTCCTTTCAATTAGATGTTTATTTGGTGTAACACGACGAATGTCTAATGATGAAATTTTAATTTCAAATTCTGAATCAGAACCATTAATATTACCACCATCAACGAGTCATCATCATATAGTTTCTTAATATTATTTAATAAAATAAAAATAAATCCAATTAATATAATGAATAATAATATTTTTTTCTTCCTTTCGTATGTTTTGAATGCATAGCCCACGTGCATCACACAATTTACCGCTATGCTTCGTTGATTCTGTGCAAAAAAAGAAACCATCTGAGCGTATGAGTCGGTGTACATTTTGAAGAAAAAATTTCATTATATATGCTAACAAATACTTTTTTTTGATTCCAGAAATACGATTTTATCTAATGACATTTGTCAGTAGTTATACTATCGCGACGGTTCTTAGTCTTCAGACACTCTGTACTTGTATTGTCTTTACACTTGGACAATATATCTATACATTCTATTTAGAAATCTATACATTATCACCACATCCTATTCAGAATTCAACATTTCTAAACAAAACAGTTAATAATTCATTAGGCAAATGTATAAAAACTGGTATTTCTGGAAATAATATTGCTCAAGCATGGGCACAACAACGATCTGCCGATCTATTCTTTTGGGCGAATCTATGGAGTTGTTGTCCAATTATTATTATGACTTATATTCTTGGATTGTATACTCCAAAATTAGGTAGACGATTTGTTCTTATGTTACCGATGATAGGCAATGCAACTCAATTAATTATTTGGTTATCTATTATATATTTTCATTTACCTGAATATTGGTGGTATGTAGCTGCATTTATAGCTGGTTTATCAGGTTCTGATAATGTTCGAAGTAATAAATTTCTTTTTGATATTTCTTTTTTTTTAAATTCTCAAATTTAGATTTTGTTCTCAATTTATTTATTACTGAAAATACTGTTGAAAGTGAACGTTCATCTCGATTTGTTATTTTTGGTGGAATATCAATGATAGTTTCTGCAATAGGAGCATTTGTTATTGGTTATTATATAGCATGGCAAGGTTTTACTGATTTATATTGGGCTGCACTTATCTTGCATTTAATTTCAATTTTTATTGTTATATTTTATTTTAAATCAGATACGTATCATTACAAGTCTTTATCGAATTCTAATGATTCCGATTCATTTCTAAATACACAAAGCTCAGTGACAAATTGGAGTTATTTTTTTGATATTTGTAAAGTTTTTGGATTTCAAAATCGTTCACGTAAAAAATCAATTAGTCTTCTACTTACACTTTTAGCTTATGCATCATTTTCATTTATTTGTACAGCATTTACTGTACTTCTTTTATATCTTCTTAATGCTCCATTTTGTTGGACATCGAAACAAATTGGAAATTATTCAGCAACAGCATTAATTGGTTTTGGTATTTTTAGTGTATTAGGAATGAAAATTTTAACAAAACTTGGTGCTTGTGATATAATCATATGTATAATTAGTCATATATTTTTTTTTCTTACATCAATTTGGATAGCATTTGCTGAAAATAATTGGCAAATGTATGCAGGATTAATACTTGGTTCATTGTCTGGTTATCAAAATTTTTTAACTCTATCAATGATATCAAAATGGTTGGAAATACATGAAAGAACAAGTGCTTTTACATTAGTGACAGAAATAAATACAATTATGAAAGTTCTGGGATATTGTTTCTTCAATTGGGTCTATGCACGTACAGTAATTAATTATAAAAATTTTACTTTTTTACTTGCAGCTGGTCTATGTATAATACCACTTGTTTCGAATATGTAAGTATGATTTTTTTAGAAGAAGTATACAATTTAATTCGAATTTTTTTTTTTCTTAGATGTTTATGGTATGTTTCAAGATGGATGCCTGATGAAGATGATAAACAAGAAATAAATGAAGAAGAAATAGATTTAAATCCAATGTCAGTTTTAGTTTCATCGGAATGGCCACCACAAATTGGAGATGCTAATTCATTTTTTATACCACAACAATTATCCGATATATCACGTACAAGTTCAATAACATCAACAGATTATTGCATAGAACAAGATCATAATGTTCAGACTATTTGAAATATACATGTTATAATTCAATTTCTTTAGAATGATATTCATTTGATTTTATTAATTTATATACGAAAAAATAAAAATAAAAAGAATGTCTGATAATGTCTTTTTTCTTAATAATCTCACAGACATATACTTGATTGATAGTTTTCATTGATCTAATGTATTGTCATACCAAAGTGATATACGAAAAACATTCATTTCTTGAATTTTCATCTTCATTGTACGTCGATGAAGTAGAATATGTTACATGTTCAAATATATATGGAGAACTTCATAAATTAGGGCAATTTTTCATAGTAGAAATTGAAATTATGTCTGATTAGATTGTATAGACTTCGAACAGTGAATTCTATCTTAAGAGATGAAAATGATTCAATATATAAAAAAAATCTCATTAACATCTTTTTAAATAAATGAAAATAAATGTAGAGTAAATGTGAAAATCATATATTTTAACAACAACAGAATTTTCGATCATTCTTTCGATCATTATCAACCAAAAACACAACCAAGAGTATACAAATATAATGAAGTTACAACAGTACAAAGAAATAATAATGTTACAACTACAATTTTATATATGTACATAAAATGTAAACTTTAACAAACATAAACATTTACATGAATATCAAAGACAAACGATGTTGATTTCATTCTTATTCATTTATCTTTTTTCTTCTCTCTTTCCTTTCTCTCCGTAAATCATAAAATCACAAAAATAAATCTACTAAAATTTCCATTTACAAGTTTTTTTTCTTTATTTAACTGTTTTTCTCAATTTGAGAATTGTTTTGCCTGGTTTTTCTACAAAAATAAATTTTTTTCTAATTCAGTATTCTTTTAAATTTTATTAACTTGATTCATTCAAGAAAAATTGTATTGGAACTATTTTATTCATTTTGGTTTTGTTAATTTAAAATTAAAATATTTTTAATTAATAATTTTTTCATATTTTAATATTCGATTATTCTCTCGATCAGCAACATAAAGATTCTCTTCTGAATCAAATGATAAACCACTGGGATAATCCAATTGATTTAATTCTTTTCCTTCACCATTTCCACCAACAACAATTTCACCTTCTGTATCTCCTTCACACCAACGCATTACTTGATGATTATTATAATCTGCGGCATAGATGTGACCCAAATGATCAACAATCACTCCTGCAGGATTAGACAATTGTTTGAGACTATTTCCTTGACCATTTCCACCAGCAACAATAATTCCTTCCTTTGCATTTTTTCTCCATTTCATTACACGATGATTCCAACAATCTGATACATAAAGAGATTCATCTTCATCGACAAAGATAAAACGAGGAGAATTGAATTGATTAAGATCATTTCCTTTTCCATTTCCACCTGCAACAATTGTTCCTCTTTTGTCTTCTTCGTTCCATCGTCGCACTTCATGTTTCTCCATATCAGAAACATAGATAAATCCATTTTTATCTATTGACAGACTCCCATACGAAATATCAGAAATGAGAATTTGTTATTTTTTTGAATTTTGACGAAAACATCGAATTACTCGTCTGTTCGAAGAATCAGAAATAATGAAAGAATCATTTTGTTTATCAATAAGAACATCTGTTGGATAAGACAATTGATCATTTCTATTTATTCTTACATTTCCTCCGGCAATGATTTGTCCATTGTTGAAACGACATTTCCATTCAACAATACGATGATTCCCCCATTCAGCAATGAAAATATTGTTGTGATGATCAATAAAGATCCCTTCAGGACCATAGAGTTGATTTAAGTGATCCTCTTTTCCATTTCCTCCAGCAACAAGAATTCCTTGTTGTTTCCATTTGTTGGATGAAATAACTGAAATTTTGTTAATAAATTCTTTTGAATCTTCTCGAATAGAAATATTTGAAGATTTAAGAAATTCTTGTGTAATTTCTGTTAATTTTAATTGAAAACCTTTTAAATTAACTTCATTAAATTCATTTTCTTCACGAATTTCTTTTAACTTTTTAGATAATTCAATAAACTTTTTTTCCACATCATTCATTGACTTTTGTGTTAAATTCATCAATTTTTCTCGACATTCTTTTATTCTTTGTTGAATTTGATGAATTGAAGTTGTTTCCCATTGATTGATTTGTTTGATTAGAGAAGAATTTAATGGATTTTGTTTTTGTTGAATAATTGTTTGTTGAAATTGATTATGATCATTGATGGCTTCTTCTAATTGTTTATCAAGAATTTGTCGGTGTTCTATTAAATGTTGAAAACAAAAATCTTTTGAACATCCTGAACAAAGACATGTTGCATTTGCTTTATTACAAATAGAACATTTTGCTCCGCTGTTTCCTGTGACGGCCATTTGTTGAAGAATTTCTCGAAGAAATGAATATCTGTTTTCTTTTCATCTTCATATATAGTTCGATAAAATAGAATGAGCCAAAGTCAATAAAGATCTGTAGGTAGTAAAAGAATGAAGAAAAGCTTTTTTCGGTAGATAAGAAATCTCCATCCTAAAACAATTTGATATTCATTGACGTTGAATTAAAAATGATCATTAAGGTTTTTCTATCGAAAGTTAAAATTTCTCTTGAGAATGTTCAAAGATGAGTTTAATCCAAGGGGGACAAAGCGAGACTTCATCTACTTCAAAACTTTTGAAGTACGATGGGAGTACAATAGGGGTACGGAAGTAGATGAAGTCTCGCTTTTTCCCCCTTGCCCCACACCCACACCCACACCCTCAAAAGGATGTCATTGGTTACACTGAGATAACGAATACAATTAATTTATTAATATATATTTCATTTGAAAAAAATTAGATTTCTTATAAATATAGGAAATATAGGAAAAATGCATGAAAAATAGGAAATTATAGGAGCATTTTTAAATATATAGGACATATAGGAAATATAGAAGGACTACGAAGCCTGAATAATTCATTATATAAAAAACTAACCTCGGATTCGGATTCCACGATCCCGAAAACCTTTGGTCAAAGTTTGTCATCTAACAGTTGCTGAGTTCTCTTTGGTTTATTTCATCCCGACTTAAACACAATATAATCCTTTCTTTCAGAAAAGGGAATAACATTCAGACCCTCAAGAAACATATTATACTAACGCAACTATGCCATCACTTCGATTAGATTCATGGAAAACATTTATTTTGTGTTTTTATTCATACAACGCACATTGATCACACAATACAAACAACAATAAAAGCTTTTTGATACATTTAAAGTGACATGATTTAATTCAGGTTGCAGTTGTCGTATTTGCAATACGATTTTGTCGTTGCTGTCTTCTTTTTAAATATGTGATACAAGTGCGCATTCTTCCTCTTATTTCTACTGGAAATCCTATGAGAGCAAAGAATGGTGTGCCAATATTAGGTATATAAGTTGCATTGATAATATGAAAGAAGATTATTGAACCACCAAATGCTCGATCACCAAATATTTGAATCAGAAGAGATGTTACATATGGTATCCAAACTGCTAATGCTAATAAACATATTGTCGCTAATTGTATTATCATACGACTATTTTGTTTCCAAAAATTAGCCGATAAAGAACCTGCAACAGCAGCAGCAGATCGTTTCTTTTGTGCCAAAACTCTAATAAGAATAAAACTATTGAAAAAAACAAGAACTGTAACCGGAATGAATAAATGTATTATTTGATTAATAATACCAATTGGTTGTGATTGAGCAAAACATGGTGCACCACATTCATATTGAGTAGGATCAAAATTATGTGTACATGGAAATAAAAAAATTAAATAAAACAACATACAAGGAAGATAAACAATAGTAATTAGTAAAGGAATATAATGAAATAGAATTTTATGTCGTAACATCAGTTGTTTATGAAATAAAAGAAGATATCGTTCAACTGATGCATATGCTGTAAAAATTAATGATTGATTAATGAAAGTATAATTAAAATATATCCAAAACATACAATAAGTTACACTATAGAAATATTTAATATGTCCAAAATAAAAATAAACTAATGTAAATGGTTGAATGATAAAAACTTGAATAAAATCATTAATAAGTAAACAAAGAATAATATGATGAGTTATATTTTCATATATTAAAGTTTTACGATGTTTTATAAATTGATAAAAATCAAAGATAAAACAAACTACCGAAGGAATACTACAGATAGTAACGAAATAAAACCAAAATGAATATACAGAATTGTTAAAGATAGTATTGTATTGTTCAATGCTGCTAGTATTAGTTGAAGCCATTTTTGTTTTGACTAAATGTAGACAAACTCTTGTATTTATATAATCTTTGACTCGGAAAAAATAATCTTTAACGGATTCTATGTAAAAACACTTAAGCTATTTTAATGAAATAGACTTTGGATTATTATATTCATAACGCACTCTTATGCCACTTGAAAAAATGTTGTTAAGTATGGATTTTCTCTTTTCTCCTCTAATTAACAAGTGACGCAGTTCATCATTTCTCTAATGTTTTTTTTTCGATCTATATAAATAATTTATTTCATAAAAAAAGACTGCGCCATACGATTATCATAAAATTTGTGTTCACAATAATACCCAAACTTCAACGAATATATGAAACAATAAGGCAGAGAATACCACTTGTTGGTAAATGCAGAAAAGCAACGCCTGGGAATAAATTCTCTCTCTTCGGTCTAGTCTTGCTGTCAGGTGATTTGTAAGAGAACTGTAAACATGGCCTATTTTTAAAAAACTAATCTTTAATAGAAAGTTAAAGCTTTGAAAAAGCAATTCACTTTTGAACAACAATTAAGAAAACAACTTTATCAACACAAGCATCTCACTCTTAGTTCAATTTTATTGGTTATCTTAGCTGTTCCTCGTCTGATTATTTCATTTTTACCTAATTGTATGAAATCATGACAAGAATATACGTTGTTCTTGACTGGTTACTTCGTTTCATTTTTGTATTAACATCAGAAGTATATAAGAAGAAATTCAACATATTCTCTTTCTCGTACAGAAGAGTCTTGCAACAATACATTATTTGTTTGCTTGCTCGTCTGTCCGCAAGGTCAAAAAAACATCGAAGACTGAATTTTCGCAAAACACATTTTTTGAGGTTATTTTTTGAAATTTTTTTGTTATAAAGTGCGATGAAACGTGATTGAATTTCGGAAATCTATTTATTGTTAGTAAATTTAGAGTGTGGGTGTGCGATAAGAACTGCACGCACGATTTCTACGAGAAAAAGCTGAGCGAGTGCTCAAACGAGCGTTACTTGTTGATTAAACGAAAATGGAAAGCATGTCAACGTCGTTTATATCCACGTAATGATTCACAAAGAAGAAATTAAATGATAACACTATGAATCATCCAACTAGTTTTCTTTTGCTTTTAAATAAAACTCGTAAAAAAAATATATGCAGTCTTCCGAGATTTTATGACACTTATGTTAGTTTGTAAACTATTTTTTAATTGATAATTTTGAATCAAATCATAGAATTTGTATGAAATTATAATATATTTTAATCAAATAAATACATTTAAAATGCATTTATCTAACAGCATAACAGCATTAAACAATATTTGTACATCTACTGTCGATGACTCCTGGAAGAGTCGAAAGCTTTAGTTCATTAAAATTCATTCATGTCATTCATTTATTTATAACAACTAGTTTCACAATGTATATAGATTCATTTTTGTTAAATAAATTCATATTAAATGTTTTTATTTGATTAAAATATATTATATTTTTCAATTATCGTATCGTATGCGCGAAAATGTACTTTATTTAAAATCTTATAATCTTGAAGGTGTGGATGTGAGTGTGGATATGAGAAGACGAGTTACCCACACTCACACCCACCCACCCTCAAGGTATAACTAACACAAAAAAGATAATGTATCGTTATTTTTGCAGATTCGTAAAGTAAACGGAGGGTGCGTAAAGTTTGATTGGGAGTGAAGGTGTGGGTTTGGATGGGGGTTCTATCTGATTACACTCTCTTTTGTCAATCCACACCCACCCTAATCCTCTCACTACTAAATGTTGTGTTATTAATACCGCTACTTATAATTTTATACTTTGATTATGAAAGGTTTATTCAATTTCTAAAGATTCAACATGAAACTCAATGTAAAGTTTATGAGACA